TCAACCAACATTTTATGAATAACTAAATTTATTAGTAACATGTGATTAGCAACTAATGATCAATTTGCTCTTTCTAAAGGTTATGTGCCAACTTTCTACTTAGCCTCCGTTTTGTGGCCTTTAATTTAATTTACTATACTTTATTTATTTTTTATATTCATTTTTGACTGCACATTCATATAATAAAATATTCTATACATAAAGGAAAATTTTTTTTTCCACTTTTTAACCATACATTCTTAAAAAAATATTATCTAAAACATAATTTTTTCAAATTAAAGGCCACCAAACAGGGGCTTAGACAATAGACCAACTGAGCACGTATGCTGTGAATTTTTCTTAAAATTCTAAACCTTTTTGTTTTAGATAAAAAACAATTTTTAGTGAATTTTTAATAAAAATTAATGAAATATGTAAATAAAAGTTGTGAATTCCATAAAATGTATTACTCTATTAATAAAAATTGTGAATTCCATAAAATGTATTACTCTATTAATAAAAATTGTGAATTCCATAAAATGTATTACTCTATTTTGTGTGAATTTCAATATAAGTCAAAGTTAATAATTAATGTCAATCATATATTTTATGGATCTATAATTTTTGATCACATATTTTTTAACTTTCATCAAAGTTTACCATAATTTTGATTTTAGTCCCCGTTTGGCCCTTTTTTTAAAATGAAAATTGGTGGAATAATATTGTTTGAAAAATGAATGGTTGAAAAAGAAAAAAATTTCAATTTACATGTAATATTATATTATAAAAGATTGTGTGATTGAAAATAAGGAAGAAAAAATGGAATGTAATTTAATCTATAATATATTAAAATATCACATCAGTGGAGAATCATTTTTTGAACGATTTTAACCTCCTTATAATTCAATTATTTTAATAATACCTTACTTTTTATTTTTTGATATGTAATAAATACTACAAAATTATTGTTATTTATGAAATTTATGTTATTAATTCTTAATTAATTAATATTCACAATAATTTATATTTAATAAATTTTTACTTGATAAATCTTAAATTATATGAATCTTGAGGTATTATAAATGAATTTATTTATATTCATATATCTAGAAATTTTAATGAATTTTTAAATTTATGTATTAACCATTAATTGTTATGTATCAAATGTAATATAAAAAAAATTCCCATTTATAGTATTTCATTATTACAAAAAATTTGAATAATAGAAATTGTGTTTTGAAAGTACAATTTTGTTCTCTTTAATTTCTATATTAAATTTTATTTTTTTAATTCTTCAGTAACTCATAAAATCTTTTAAGAAATTGATATCAAATATTACTTTTATATTACTTATAAATTGTTTTAGAATATCGTGCACATTTCAATTTTGACTATTGATTAACAAATGGGGCTTAATCTTAGCTAAAATTAATTGTTGAAGTTTTGACGCTTTCTAAAACCAAACAGCAGAAAGAAGGAAATCCAAATTTTGCCACCAACATTTTCTCGCACGAAGGACTAGGGTTTTGCCGGTAGAGGCCAGGGTTAATCGAACTGGAGAAGGCAAAATTTGGAGATGGATGATTACAAAGATGCCGTTCAACACGAGCAGGATGCTTCCGGTGCTGGCGCCGCGATGGAGGTAGACAAGCATACAGAAGCTGAAATCCAGAAATTCTCTGATTCCAAGGACATGGAAGTTGAAAACGAACATGAGCGTGCAGATGGAGAACATTACGCTGACATTGCAACTAGAGACAATCCCGAGACAGGCCAAGCCAAAGGTGAGGTTTATCCGGCTGCGGAAAAAGGTCTTGTTGAATCTCCCAATGCCAAGGAATTGCATGAAGAACCGAATATTTTGGCCTCTGCGGAGAGTTTTTTCCAGGACAAGGAATTGAATGAAGTCTTGACAGAGACAGAAGTGCTGCCAGCCAGTAAGACGGTGGAGGAGGTTCACAAACCGCAACTGAATGGATTAAGTGAGGGTGATACGAAAACCCCTTCTAAATCATTTCTATTGGATGCAAATGATGTTGCAGGGGATGAATCGGGAACAGAGGAAGAGCAAACTGCATTTATGAAAGAGCTCGAAACTTTCCACAGAGAAAGATGCTTGGAGTTCAAGCCTCCAAGGTTTTATCAAGAGCCGTTAAACTGCCTTAAGTCAGTCCACACTCCATATGGTTTGTTTATTGCATCTCTCTAAGAGAAAACTGGCATTGCACTAACTTTCTTCACCATTCTGTGGGTCAGGTTGTGGAGAGCAGTGATAAGACTGGGTGGCTACGAACAGGTTTGTCATGGATTTCATTTACCCAACCTGTTCTTATCTTTTGTCCTATTTTGATGTGCTATCATCTATATGGTTAGAAGAGAAGGATGTCCTCTACATATCACTTGAATCACCCATCATTTGGGAGACTCAAAACTGTAAGAACTTGTCATATTCGGATTCTGACCCAATGCCAGATGTTAAGCTCAACTCCCCCTTTTAGCAGCCTAAACACAATAAGGGAGATGTCCTAGTTTCTTGTCACAAAAAATGATGAAAAAATGGTCACATAATAACGTCACATATAATTGGTCAAATAGGCTTTCAAGCTGTCAGCACTTCGCAAGGAGTACATACAAAGAATTTTCAGAAATAAGGATTATAGGATGCTATTTAGTAGTGGAAATGCTGACTGCCCCCCCCCCCCCCCCCCCACCCACACC